GCGGTTCGATGTTACATGCGCGGTGCGATGTAAATCAATTACTATAAATCTGTTTGCCTTGTACGCATGACTCATAGTGAACATTGAAATCATCTTGTACGCAGTGCACTCTAATCCCCCGTTCTAAGAGCACCACCTAGCACGCTGAAGCCTATATATCACTCAATACTTAGGCGGTCGACGCGTTCTATGGCTGGTTGGGAAGCCAAGAGTGTGCTCCACTGATTGGTATAACTCCTAGTTCCTGCCAACCAGCGGAGAAGCCTCTACAACAGAAAGGATAGAAGCTCTCTAGATTTTTGTCGAGTTGCACTGCGTACAAGGAACTCAGATTTTCAGTATGAAACATGCATACAAAGCGAACACATTTATAGATAATCAATAACCTCAAATCGCACAAGTAACATCGAGTCGCTACAAGATGCGTCACGAATGTTCCGCGAGTAACATTTCGATGTGGTGAAATTCGGCAACCGAATTTCACTAATGTGAATGTTCCGATCTCTAATGTTGTGGTGCTGCCATTGCGGAGATTCACTCTACAACGGAGTTGGACTACGGGGGGGAAGGCACGGGTGATGTGAGCGATCGTAGCGTTCCTTAGCGTTCTCTCTACTTGCGCATTCACAGGGAGAATTGGCACAAGGTTTTACTAGCAAGGTTCAGTACAATGATGCAAAGATGGTAGGCAACAATGAGTACATCTGGGGCCTAGCAACCTAGCAGACAGGCAGGTCGACCGCCAGCGCAGCAAGTCGGCGGCCCGCCAACGCAGCAAGTCGGCAGCCTGCCACTGCAGCTTGATGGCGGCTTGCCAGCACTGCAAGTCGGCGACCCTCCAGCGCTACAACAGAGCGGCTTGCCAGCGCTGCAGCAAGGCGGCTTGCCAGCGTTGCAACCGCGTGTGACCATAGCGCATGTGCTCACCCACTTCGCAGGTGCAGGTGGACGGTTGAGCACGTTGTGCACCGTCACGAACATTGCGCAGGTACCAAGTCGGTCACGTCCCGACAGTTGCGCCAGGTGTGCCACGCCGACCTCGTGCGCACGTGGCGTTGCCACGTAGGTCGGCTTCGCCAAAACCACCTGGACGACGTTCACGCACCCCCGCAGAACTTTGTCGGCCAGGTTAGACGGTCGACCAGAGGAGGCCGCCGACATCCACAAGTCGGCTTTGCCGTTCCAACGAAGTCGGCGTCGCAGAAGCCTTCTTCACCAAAGTCAGCTAACCCGTAGGCCGACGAACCCCTTCGTCGACCACAAACGTGGAAGTCAGCCGCCGACTTCCCGTCGTCAGCTGCTTCACAGTGATCCCCCGCAGGCCGACCAACCTCGTTGACCTGCTCACCCAAGCTGGCGTCGACCACTGCGGATGGTCGGCTGCACTTCCGGCACACCCGACCACGAAGTCGGCTTCGCCCAAGCGAGGGCGAGGCCAACTCCCGTCAACACTCCCCTGCCGCGCTCACTCTTGGGCACCCCACACACTACGGCCGCCCAGAACCCAAGGGATAGAATACATGGAGAAAAACTCGTCGTCGTCGACGTGCATACAACACACAACACGCCGGTCAACGCACCAGCCGTGCAGAAGGGCACGGCACCTACTGCTGCATGTCGTCATCACCGTCGCTGACGTAGGCCAGACGCACTTGGCCGATCGCCACGGAGCACCTGTTGAAGGCCGGAGAGTGCAGCGCCTTCGTCAGGAAGTCGGCCGGCTGCTCGGTTGTCGGGATGAACTGCAGTACGAACTTCCTGCGCTTCACCATCTGCTGCAGCCAGGCATATCGCCGCTTCATGTGCTTGAGGTTGCCCTTCAGCCCCAAGCCTTCAGCGACCGTGATGGCCGACTTGTTGTCCATACGAAGGACATTCGGCGTCCCAGCGTCCAGCATTTGGAACTCGGCAAGGAGGAAATGAAGTCGGCGTGCCTCCTTGCCGGCTTCGGTGGCCGCGACGTACTCCGACTCGGTCGACGAGAGCGTCGCGCACTTGATGCGCTGGCTCGTCCAGGAGACGGCGGCCCCGCCGAAGACGAACACATAGCCGCCTGTGCTCGTACGGTTTTGCTTGTCGCCGGCGTCATCGGCGTCCACGTAGCCGTCGTCGTCAGCGACTCTGGTCCGCCGCCGAACTCCAAGGCGGCGTCACGGGTGTCGGCGAGGTAGTCGAGGCAGCGGTCGACCTCACGCCAATGCTGGTCGCTCCTCACCGTCAGGCCGCTCCCCAGCTTGCTGCACGCGAAGGCAATGTCCGGCCTCGTCGTCGTTGCCGCGAACTGCAGCGAGCCGACCTTCTGCCGGTACTCCTCTTCCTCGCGCGACTGAGCCTCCTCGTTGTCAAATGTGAGAACGGCGTAGGCGTCGACGGAGACCGGCGTCTTCAGGATTCGACCGCCCTGCTCCTCGTCGATGAAGCGCCGATGCAGCATGTCGACGTAGGACTGCTGGTGGAGCCACAGCTTCCTTGCCGACCGGTCGCGCACAATCTTCAGCCAGAGGTACTTCTCGACCAGCGAGATCTCGCGCAGCTCAAAGGCGCCCTCCAGCAACTCCTTCAGCTCCTTCAGCATCGCGCTGCTGTAGCTGGCGGCGAGAAGACGTAGACGAGCACCTAGCACGTCACACCATCGTCGCTGACCTTGAAGTAGAGAGCCTCGTCGACCTGGCTCTTGCTCCAGCCGGCGCCGGTCTGCACAACAGTTGTGACTGCTTCAGCCCGTACAGGCTCTTCAGCAGCTTGCACACCCGACTGGTCCCGTCGTCGAAGTAGTCCAGCTGGTACATGTACAACACCCGATCGAGCTTGCTCTGCAGGAAGGCGTTCTTCATGTCAAGCTGCATCAAGTTCGGGTCGAGGACGGCGACGATGTTGAGGAAGATCATCAGCGTGACGTAGCTGCCGACCAGCGCGTACGTCTCGTTGTAGTCAGAGCCGCATACCTGTGTGAAGCCATTCACGACCAGGCGCGGCTTCTCGCGGGCGACCGTGTCGTCGATGTGGTACTTCGTCATCAACACCCACCGGTTCTTCATGATGTTGACATCGCGCGGCTGCTCAACCATCTCCCACGTGCCGTTGGCTATGAGGCTGCAGATCCCTTCGTCTATGGCGGCCTTCACCGCCTTGCCCTTCCAGCTCGCCAACGCCTCCTTCGCCGTCATCGTCGCGATGTCCCAGCGGTTCTCAGACTCGGCGTGCACGTAGCCGTCGAGCTTTGGCAAGTTGACGTCGGCCTGCGCGTCGTCATGCAACGGGGTGAAGGTGGCCGGAGGCAGGCAGGCGTGGTAGCTCAGCCGTTCAGGAGCCTTTTGGAGCCGGCCTGAGCGTCGCGGTCCAGGCGGGACCTCCACCGCATCGCTGTCGGTGGACTCCTCTCCCTCCGACCGCTCCCCTTCATCGACGCCGGCTTCACTGTCCTCACCAGCCTGCTGCACCAAAGTCGGTTGCTCGGCCGACTTCTCCCCTGTCGTCGGCTCCCCTGCCGACTGTCCTGTCGCCGACATCACCCCTATCGCCTTCACTGCCCGCTGCTCCCATGTCGTCGTCGGCTTCCCTCTCACGCCGACTTGCTTGACGTCACGTCGGCCGCCGGCGATGCCACTGGGCGTCGTCGTCGGCTTCCCTCCCGAGCGTCGTCGGCTTCCCTCCCGAGCGTCGTCGGCTTCCCTCTCTCGTCGTAACACCCTCTTTCATTCCTGGGCGTAGCAGTGCTGGTACTGCTGACGTGACAGTCTTTTTGTGAGGAAATCGGCTGCCATGTCACCAGTGGGGCAATACGACAAGTCAACCTTCCCCTTGTCAATTTCGTCCTTGACGAAGACAATCGCAGCACGATGTGCTTTGTGCAGTTGACGAAACCAGGTTTGTTTGCGATTTTGATCACGCTCTGGTTGTCACAGTGGAGGCTGGAGGTTGGTGATGTCGCAATTTTCACCTCCTACAAGAGTTCCTGGCAGCACTCTCCTCTCGTTCACTACGGCTCTGTCTACGAAGATCCAGGTGTTGCTCCAGCCGCGACTGCAGCTGGTGTGCTCGCTGTTGCCGCGCATGCAGAGGCTGCGCGTGCGTTTAGTCTTTAGAAAGCTCACCTAAGAAGCTGGAGCATGTTAGTAGCTGGAATTGCGGGGAGAAGTCGGGAGTTAAGGGAGTGGTTGGAGTGGCAGGAGGACAGCAGCAAGAAAGAGAACTAACAAACCCTAACTGCCTTTGATTCTCGTAAAAAACACAATGATCAAAACTTTGAAGGGAGGACTCACTTTTACCTGTTTAGCAAATTGTTTACATCCCGTTTTCTGATCCTTTGGTCCGGGTTTCGAAAGTACAGCGTTACTTCTAAAACTACCATGATTTTCAGTACAACAGTGTGACGCAGAGTGTTGCAAGGCGATTTTACTTTACGATATGACTACACTTACTTAGTGTCATATAGAGTGTTTCCTGTACACAAGCACATGCCCCTGAAGCTCCCTATCAACAGGAAAATGTGCGTGAAAGAATCGCTTTACCTGCAAGACGGACAAACACACCATGGGGTTGAATTCAATCAACTGCCATATCCAGCTCATGCGCTCAAGACAACAGTTGGGATTTGATTCGTTATCCACTTCAAGTTGTGCAAAGCAAGATGAAAACTGTGTCCATGAATTGGAGGTGCCCAGGAATCGAAGGTGCCAGACTCTATGTAATGCTCATGAAGCACACATACCTCAGTGTAGCCAACACATGAAGAACACATACCTCAGTGTAGCCAACACATGAAGCACACATACCTCAGTGTAGCCAACACATGAAGAACACATACCTCAGTGTAGCCAACACATGAAGAACGCATACCAAAGTGTAGCCAACACATGAAGAACACATACCTCAGTGTAGCCATCACATGAAGAACACATACCTCAGTGTAGCCAACACATGAAGAACACATACCTCAGTGTAGCCAACACATGAAGAACGCATACCTCAGTGTAGCCAACACATGAAGAACACATACCTCAGTGTAGCCAACACATGAAGAACACATACCTCAGTGTAGCCAACACATGAAGAACGCATACCTCAGTGTAGCCGGCGCACTGCAGAAACGGCTTCAACCGCTTCTCCTCCGAGTCGAATGCCACCACCACTTCCGGCAGTTCCCTGCACCCCACTCCATCCAACCCTTGAGACCCTTCACACCCTTGAGACCCTTCACACCCTTGAGACGTTTCAAACCCTTCAAATCCTCTTGAAGAACTTTCCTTCTCCTCCGTGTTGACTGCCTTTTGAGGAGACTCAAAAGTCTCCTCTGTGTTGACTGCCTTTGGAGGAGACTCAAAAGTCTCCTCCGTGTTGACTGCCTTTGGAGGAGACTCAAAAGTCTCCTCTGTGTTGACTGCCTTTGGAGGAGACTCAAAAGTCTCCTCCGTGTTGACTGCCTTTGGAGGAGACTCAAAAGTCTCCTCTGTGTTGACTGCCTTTGGAGGAGACTCAAAAGTCTCCTCCGTGTTGACTGCTTTTGGAGGAGACTCAAAAGTCTCCTCCGTGTTGACTGCCGCCACCACTTCCGGCCCCTCCCTGCACCCGGCTCTATCCAACCCAGGAGAGGGAGCCTCTTTCGGCTTCAAAGAACCCTCCTTCTCTTTCTTATCTGAACGCGTGCCTCTTGCATTCGAGCCTGCTTGACGAGTGCCGCACTCGTTCACATGAGCATCTCCTCTTGCATTCGAATCTATAGAAGCTGCTTTCTGTGCTCCTCGCCTCCTTTCTTCTGAATTACCAGCCGCACACCCGCCCTCTCCACGCCCTCCAACCCATGCAGCAGCAGCCACACATGTACCCTCTCCACGCTCTCCTTGGGCGGAATCGCCAGCATGCTCCGTTGTCCCGCTGCTGCTGCTGCTGCTGCTGCTGCTGCTGCTGCTGCTGCTGCTGCTGCTGCTGCTGCTGCTGCTGCTGCTGCTGCTGCTGCTGCTGCTGCTGCTGCTGCTGCTGCTGCTGCTGCTGCTGCTGCTGCTGCTGCTGCTGCTGCTGCTGCTGCTGCTGCTGCTGCTGCTGCTGCTGCTGCTGCTGCTGCTGCTGCTGCTGCTGCTGCTGCTGCTGCTGCTGCTGCTGCTGCTGCTGCTGCTGCTGCTGCACGTGGTGGGGCTGGCAGCAGGGGAATCGGCTGTAGTGTCGCAAGCAGGATGAGATTCGGCTGTAGCACGGTGAGCAGCAGCAGCTGCTGTAGCGCCATGGCTCAGGCCCGTGATGCATGCATGAACAGATGGATGGATGGTGTAGCGGGATGTGAGGAACGCATGGTGAGCAGCAGCAGCAGCTGCTGTAGCACGGTGAGCAGCAGCAGCAGCTGTAGCAGCATGGCTCAGGCCCGTGATGCATGCATGAACGGATGGATGGATGGTGTAGCGGGATGTGAGGAACGCATGTGTGTCTGCTAGTAGATCTTCAAACTCCCTTTCACGAGACATGGTGATGGTGCCGTTGGGATGGGCTGGAGGGAGGGGATGGGGATGGGGATGGGGATGGGGATGGGGATGGGGATGGGGATGGGGATGGGGATGGGGATGGGGTGTAGTGGGATGTGAGGGGAGCATGTGGGACTGCCAGCACATCTTTGAATTCGCTTTCACGAGACATGGTGATGGTGTTGGTGGGATGGGCTGGACATGAGAGGAGGGGATGGGGAGAGAAACGAGGGGAAGGAAAGGATTGCAGCTATGTTGCAAAATACGCGACCAGCGTACGGTACGCGTTCGGACTATACGCTACCGTACATTCGTGATACGCTGACTTCCAGCGTACAAAAAAACCCGAAATACGGAGTGTCGGGCAGGCAAAAGGATTCTTCGGGCAGGGATAAAACACTTCAGTGGAGGTAGAATCCTTCAGGAGTTTTTTTTTTCCTAGATGCTCGCTGATGCGGATAATCTCCTGGGCGTTTTTGCGATAAGGAACTCTGAAATGTTCGAGGGATCGTTGGCCAGAATCGCCCTAAAATTTCGGCCGCGAGGATCCTGCAATGTGACGCTTAAGCCACAATTAGCAATAAAAGATGCGGCATTGGCGGTCGACATAGCTGTTTGAAGCTACATCGTAGAGTAAAATAGGTGTGAGACAATTGAGATACGAAAGGCTGTTGTACGGAAAGCTGCCAGCTGCTAGTGGTGGGTGGGAGGGAAAGGTTGGGTTTGGGAGGTGGTGTGCAGTGATGTGCAGTGGAAAAGGGGGGTGGGGGATCAATTCGAGTCTCGAATGTCAAATTTAGGTTTCACAGAATCGCAGATCGCGAGAACGGCGGAACATAGTTTTGAGTTTTTTTTTTCGGGCTGCCCGACCTAGCCGTATCGCGTATTATGGACGTATCACGTTATTTCGTATATACGTTTCCGTACAAACGTGATACGCGTCGAAGCCTTAGCGTATAGTGCAACATAGGATTGCAGGGCGGTGTAGTGGGATATGAGGAAGGCATGTGGGTTGGCTAGCCGGTTTTAAAACTCCCTTTCACGGGACATGGTGATGGTGTTGTTGGGATGGGCTGGAGGGAGGGGATGTGGGACTGGTGATGTGGGGCAGATATTTGAATTCCCTTTCACGAGACATGGTGATGGTGCCGCTGGGAATGGATGGATAGGGGAGACGAAGAGTTAGGCAGGAGGACGCGGCAGAGAGAGTAAAGGGTTGGGAGAGGGATTGGGAAAGATGGACAAGCGATGGAGGCAATAATTTTGAGGAGCCTAAAAAATCGAGAGATGGACGAGCGTGGGAGGCAATAAGGCATGTAGGAGCCATGATATGCGAGGTGTAGGCAGGTGATGATACCGCTGGGATGGGATGGACAGGGGACAGGGCGTTAGACAGGAGGAAGTGGCAGAGAGGGCCGAGATCTGGGAGAGGGAGTGGGATAGATGGACAAGCGTGGGAGGCAATAAGGCATGTAAGAGCCATGACATGCGGTGACTTTTGAGTCGACTCAAGAGCCATGACATGCGGTGACTTTTGAGTCGACTCAAGAGCCATGACATGCGGTGACTTTTGAGTCGACTCAAGAGCCATGACATGCGGTGACTTTTGAGTCGACTCAAGAGCCATGACATGCGGTGACTTTTGAGTCGACTCAAGAGCCATGACATGCGGTGACTTTTGAGTCGACTCAAGAGCCATGACATGCGGTGACTTTTGAGTCGACTCAAGAGCCATGACATGCGGTGACTTTTGAGTCGACTCAAGAGCCATGACATGCGGTGACTTTTGAGTCGACTCAAGAGCCATGACATGCGGTGACTTTTGAGTCGACTCAAGAGCCATGACATGCGGTGACTTTTGAGTCGACTCAAGAGCCATGACATGCGGTGACTTTTGAGTCGACTCAAGAGCCATGACATGCGGTGACTTTTGAGTCGACTCAAGAGCCATGACATGCGGTGACTTTTGAGTCGACTCAAGAGCCATGACATGCGGTGACTTTTGAGTCGACTCAAGAGCCATGACATGCGGTGACTTTTGAGTCGACTCAAGAGCCATGACATGCGGTGACTTTTGAGTCGACTCAAGAGCCATGACATGCGGTGACTTTTGAGTCGACTCAAGAGCCATGACATGCGGTGACTTTTGAGTCGACTCAAGAGCCATGACATGCGGTGACTTTTGAGTCGACTCAAGAGCCATGACATGCGGTGACTTTTGAGTCGACTCAAGAGCCATGACATGCGGTGACTTTTGAGTCGACTCAAGAGCCATGACATGCGGTGACTTTTGAGTCGACTCAAGAGCCATGACATGCGGTGACTTTTGAGTCGACTCAAGAGCCATGACATGCGGTGACTTTTGAGTCGACTCAAGAGCCATGACATGCGGTGACTTTTGAGTCGACTCAAGAGCCATGACATGCGGTGACTTTTGAGTCGACTCAAGAGCCATGACATGCGGTGACTTTTGAGTCGACTCAAGAGCCATGACATGCGGTGACTTTTGAGTCGACTCAAGAGCCATGACATGCGGTGACTTTTGAGTCGACTCAAGAGCCATGACATGCGGTGACTTTTGAGTCGACTCAAGAGCCATGACATGCGGTGACTTTTGAGTCGACTCAAGAGCCATGACATGCGGTGACTTTTGAGTCGACTCAAGAGCCATGACATGCGGTGACTTTTGAGTCGACTCAAGAGCCATGACATGCGGTGACTTTTGAGTCGACTCAAGAGCCATGACATGCGGTGACTTTTGAGTCGACTCAAGAGCCATGACATGCGGTGACTTTTGAGTCGACTCAAGAGCCATGACATGCGGTGACTTTTGAGTCGACTCAAGAGCCATGACATGCGGTGACTTTTGAGTCGACTCAAGAGCCATGACATGCGGTGACTTTTGAGTCGACTCAAGAGCCATGACATGCGGTGACTTTTGAGTCGACTCAAGAGCCATGACATGCGGTGACTTTTGAGTCGACTCAAGAGCCATGACATGCGGTGACTTTTGAGTCGACTCAAGAGCCATGACATGCGGTGACTTTTGAGTCGACTCAAGAGCCATGACATGCGGTGACTTTTGAGTCGACTCAAGAGCCATGACATGCGGTGACTTTTGAGTCGACTCAAGAGCCATGACATGCGGTGACTTTTGAGTCGACTCAAGAGCCATGACATGCGGTGACTTTTGAGTCGACTCAAGAGCCATGACATGCGGTGACTTTTGAGTCGACTCAAGAGCCATGACATGCGGTGACTTTTGAGTCGACTCAAGAGCCATGACATGCGGTGACTTTTGAGTCGACTCAAGAGCCATGACATGCGGTGACTTTTGAGTCGACTCAAGAGCCATGACATGCGGTGACTTTTGAGTCGACTCAAGAGCCATGACATGCGGTGACTTTTGAGTCGACTCAAGAGCCATGACATGCGGTGACTTTTGAGTCGACTCAAGAGCCATGACATGCGGTGACTTTTGAGTCGACTCAAGAGCCATGACATGCGGTGACTTTTGAGTCGACTCAAGAGCCATGACATGCGGTGACTTTTGAGTCGACTCAAGAGCCATGACATGCGGTGACTTTTGAGTCGACTCAAGAGCCATGACATGCGGTGACTTTTGAGTCGACTCAAGAGCCATGACATGCGGTGACTTCTGAGTCGACTCAAGAGCCATGACATGCGGTGACTTTTGAGTCGACTCAAGAGCCATGACATGCGGTGACTTTTGAGTCGACTCAAGAGCCATGACATGCGGTGACTTTTGAGTCGACTCAAGAGCCATGACATGCGGTGACTTTTGAGTCGACTCAAGAGCCATGACATGCGGTGACTTTTGAGTCGACTCAAGAGCCATGACATGCGGTGACTTTTGAGTCGACTCAAGAGCCATGACATGCGGTGACTTCTGAGTCGACTCAAGAGCCATGACATGCGGTGACTTCTGAGTCGACTCAAGAGCCATGACATGCGGTGACTTTTGAGTCGACTCAAGAGCCATGACATGCGGTGACTTTTGAGTCGACTCAAGAGCCATGACATGCGGTGACTTTTGAGTCGACTCAAGAGCCATGACATGCGGTGACTTTTGAGTCGACTCAAGAGCCATGACATGCGGTGACTTTTGAGTCGACTCAAGAGCCATGACATGCGGTGACTTTTGAGTCGACCCAAGAGCCATGACATGCGGTGACTTTGAGTCGACTCAAGAGCCATGACATGCGGTGACTTTTGAGTCGACTCAAGAGCCATGACATGCGAGGTGTAGGCACGTCTGCGGCAAGAGACTATCGAAGAGGCAAGAGGCAAGGGACAAGAGAATAGAGGCTTACATGTGAGGACGGGTGCGCATGAGAGCATGGTGAGTGTGACTGCAGGGTGGTGGAGGTGGGAGTGGAAGGGCGTGGAGTGGCAAGGCATCAGAAACAACACCTCCACCCTCCCCTCCCTCACTAATCCCCTCCCCTCAATTTCTCCTCCCCTCCCCTCGTCCCTCGGTGGTGTTACACGGGCCTGCAGGATCGTGTTGATTTGCTTTTTAGTCGACTCAAAAACAGCCTCATCCCTCGATGGTGGTGCACGGGCCTGCAGGATCGTGTTGATTTGCTTTTTAGTCGACTCAAAAACAGCCTCATCCCTCGATGGTGGTGCACGGGCCTGCAGGATCGTGTTGATTTGCTTTTTAGTCGACTCAAAAACAGCCTCATCCCTCGATGGTGGTGCACGGGCCTGCAGGATCGTGTTGATTTGCTTTTTAGTCGACTCAAAAACAGCCTCATCCCTCGATGGTGGTGCACGGGCCTGCAGGATCGTGTTGATTTGCTTTTTAGTCGACTCAAAAACAGCCTCATCCCTCGATGGTGGTGCACGGGCCTGCAGGATCGTGTTGATTTGCTTTTTAGTCGACTCAAAAACAGCCTCATCCCTCGATGGTGGTGCACGGGCCTGCAGGATCGTGTTGGTTTGCTTTTTAGTCGACTCAAAAACAGCCTCATCCCTCGATGGTGGTGCACGGGCCTGCAGGATCGTGTTGATTTGCTTTTTAGTCGACTCAAAAACAGCCTCATCCCTCGATGGTGGTGCACGGGCCTGCAGGATCGTGTTGATTTGCTTTTTAGTCGACTCAAAAACAGCCTCATCCCTCGATGGTGGTGCACGGGCCTGCAGGATGGTGTTGGTTTCTCTCTCTAGGAAGGGCATGACAGCAATGGTGCCTCGCTGGTGGGTGGTGGAGAGGTAGAGAGCGGCGAGGAGCTGGGGGAGAAAGGCTGCTACTAGGAGCAGGCGGAAATGGGGTGAGTGTGGGCGGAGGAAGTGGGAGAGGAAGGCACGCCACGATTGGTTTGCTGGGCCGGAACGAGATGATGTGGGTCTTTGGGACGGGTTGGGTGATTGAGATGGTTCGGGCGGTTTCAAGGAGTTGGATGCTTGATGGAGCAAAGGCGATTGGCGGGGCGTGTGAGGCTTGCTTCTGCTGCTGCTGCTGCTGGTGGTGCTGTTGCTGGTGGTGCTGTTGCTGGTGTTGCTGGTGTTGCGGGTGTCACAGGTGGTGGCGAGTCCTGATTGCAGGAGAGAGAGGGCGAGACCAGTGTACGTGTTGAGGAGAGGGAGAGAGAGCAGGATGAAGCTGCGAGGAAGGGGAATGTGGGGAGCGGAAACAAGGGAATGGAGAGGGAGGGGGTGTGGGGAGGGGGGGAGACAAGGGGTGCCTAGGGTGGGAAACAACTTTTAAGTTAAATCAGCAATCACCTAGGCAATGTTACCCAGAGTTCGTCTCACGCTTGAAAACCGTTGAGGAGGAAACGGGAGGAAAGGGAAAAAAGGTGGATAAGAGCAAACAACGAAATTACTGCATCCCAGCATTTGTTCGTGGACATGAAAATTTTGCAAGCAATTCGTCAAGTCCCCTCACCAGTGCTACTCCTCACACACACTCACCGGTGCTGATCCTATCACTCCTCCTCACACACACTCACCAGTGCTGATCCTATCACTCCTCCTCACACACACTCACCGGTGCTCCTTGTGATCGGAGAGGGAGTAGAAGAGAGGCAACCAGAGCGACAGCAGGAAGGGCAGGCGCACCGACCACCACACCAGCCCCTCATGCAGGCGCTGCAGCAGATGATGATGCTGGGACACGGTTGTGTGATTATTACGAGGTGGGGTGTGGGAGGGGGAGGAAGGGCGGGAGGAGCACCAGAGGAGGCCGAGGCAGGCGAGGGGGAAGAAGGTGCCGTGCATGGCTATGAGGCCCTGGGGGGGACGTGGGGGGAGAGGTGCAGAGGGGTACAGAAGGGTGCTGTGCGAATCCTGAGTGAGGGGGGCGAGGCTGAACTGAATGCAGGCGAGGGGGAAGAAGGTGCCGTGCATGGCTATGAGGCCCTGGGGGGATGAGGCGGCGTGCAGAAGGGTGTAGAAGGGTGTGGAATGGTGGGACGAGAATCGTAAGGGGGAGTGAGGGTGAATGTATGTGAGGGGGAAGAAGGTTCCACGCATGGCTATGAAGCCCTGGGCGCGATGAGGCGGGGGTGCAGGAGGGTGTAGAGGGGTGTAAAAGGGTGTAGAAATACTCCCTGCAAAGCACATATCCGCACGGTACACGCACGCAAGCACACACTCCTCCTACCTGCGACCAGTACCAGTGCCAGGGGTTGCTGCCGTAGAGACTGGACCCCTTGAGATGCACGTTGAAGTGGAGGAGATTCAGAGGGGTGAACACCATTGGCCGGCCGTACTGCCAGCTGTCCACAGCCACTGTGATCGCGACAGCTGTCAGGCTGGCAGCAGGGATGAGGTCGAGAAGGAGCACAGTATGGGAGAGAGGGAAGCGGCATTGTTGGTTAGAGCAGTTTTGGAGGGAGTTCTGAGGAGTTGGGAGGAGAGTTTTGAGACGTCTCAAACCTTGAGTTGGAGGAGTTTCCTGCAGCCACAGCAGTCCCCATGTGCTGTCACAGCCTGTTGCATAACTCACAGGCATTACTTACTTACACAGCGGAATATCTCAACAGAAATGGGGTCGACGGTCCCTCTTGCCAGGGACGATCGACCGTCGACTGGCCGTCGACCGTCGACCTCTGTCCGCCGGGCAGAAAACTAAAATTCGCTCGGATGGCATGCCAACCGAGAGAGGCATCAACCCTAAACACCATGTGACAAGATGGTTGCATGCCATTCCCAACAGGGTTTAGTTTTTTTTCTACCCCGGGCAGCGTTTTTCCTGGGCGGGGCTGTTTGTCCGTTGCGATATATCAAGAGGCATGGCTCACCCTACTGGCAGCACTTCTAGCCCCAGCAGCTGCACCCACTCCCATCTGCCCCGCTGCTGTTCAGCACCCCTTCCACCAGCAGCGAAGAGAGGGGTCGTGAAGCCACAGAGGGGCAACCAGAAAGGCGTGCAGGTGGGGCAACCAGGAGGGCGTGCAGGTGGGGCAACCAGAAGGGCGTGCAGGTGGGGCAACCAGGAGGGCGTGCAGGTGGGGCAACCAGGAGGGCGTGCAGGTGGGGCAAACCGAACCATGCACACACATGACTGAAACGCCCATAGGGGCGAACTCACTTCACAGGAGCAAGGATTTACCAGGGCTCACCTGATTGGCAGCACTTCCAGCAGCAGCAGCCGCACCCACTCCCATCCGCCGCTGCTGTCCCTCCCTCCCTTCAGCGCCCCCTCCAGCAGCAGCAGCGAGAGCTCGTGCAGGCCCAGGGGCAGCCAGAAGGGCGTGCTGGTGGGGCGAACCATGCACGCTGCTGCTGCCACGGCGAGGGCTAAGGGACGGTTGCCTCCAAAAGAGTGACTGACGAATTCAGTCACAGAGCATCCGCCTCCTCTGCCCTGCTCAGCAGCTTTCCCTCCGCCCTCACCCTTGTCCTGCTCGCCCCCACTGCGCCCCTGCCTGGCTTCAGTCGCCCCCTGCCCGCCCTCAGTGCCCCCTTGGCAGTGGCGCCAGGGCCAGTAGGAGAGGGCGATGACAGCGAGAGAGGCCTCGAGGGAGTTGGAGAAGGTGCGTGTGGCGCAGAAGAGGAGGAACCAGCACGTGAGATTGCAGGCGAGCTGAGGGGAGAGAGAGAGAGAGGGGTACATGAGAGGAACAGAGAGCATTGGATGGGGAAGGTGCGTGTGGGCCAGTAGGAGAGGGCGATGACAGCGAGGGATGCCTCAAGGGAGTTGGAGAAGGTGCGAGTGGCGCAGAAGAAGAGGAACCAGCACGTGAGATTGCAGAGGAGCTGAGAAGGGGAGCAGTGGAGAGGTGAGCAGGGGAGGGGGACAGAGGGGTGCATGTGGGGAACAGAGAGCATCACTTGAAGGTGCATGTGGGGAACAGAGAGCATCACTTGAAGGTGCATGTGGGGAATAGAGAGCATCACTTGAAGGTGCATGTGGGGAACAGAGAGCATCACTTGAAGGTGCATGTGGGGAACAGAGAGCATCACTTGAAGGTGCATGTGGGGAACAGAGAGCATCACTTGAAGGTGCATGTGGGGAACAGAGAGCATCACTTGAAGGTGCATGTGGGGAACAGAGAGCATCACTTGAAGGTGCATGTGGGGAACAGAGAGCATCACTTGAAGGTGCATGTGGGGAACAGAGAGCATCACTTGAAGGTGCATGTGGGGAACAGAGAGCATCACTTGAAGGTGCATGTGGGGAACAGAGAGCATCACTTGAAGGTGCATGTGGGGAACAGAGAGCATCACTTGAAGGTGCATGTGGATCAGAAGAGGAGGAACCAGCAGGTGAGATTGCAGGCGAGCTGGGGGGGGGGGGGGGAGAGAGGTATATGAGGGGAACAGAGAGCATTGGATGGAGAAGGTGCGGGTGGCGCAGAAGGAGAGGAACCAGCAGGTGAGATTGCAGGCGAGCTGGGGGGGAGGGGTAGGGAAGGGGCAAGAGGGGCAAGGAAAGGGGTAAATGTGGGACATCGGAGCATCAGTTGGAGAAGGTGCGGGTGAGGTAGAGGAACTCGACTGGCAGGATAGGTTGCACAGCTATGGGAGGGGTTTAGGGCAGCAGCACCGACTCCCCACAGTCACTTCAGTAGACAGGATCCCAATCGTTCTCCCTCTGGCAGCTACAGGGGGGCCAAACACGCTGGGCATGGGGAAGCTACCAAGCGGAAACATGCTGCTCGCATCGATTCTCCAAACGCACATCTGTACTGGAACAGCAAGTATATGTACGTCTGCCCTTGCTGTTCATTGAGGTGTATTTTGAGGCGCCTCAAAATACACCTCAAACAGACATCTGCACTGGAATAGCAAGTATATGTACGTCTGCCCTTGCTGTTCCAGTGCAGATGCCTGTTAGGAGAATCGATGCAAACAACGGGTTTCCGTTTGGCAGCTCTTCCGTGGCCGGCGTCGTCGGGGCCCCCAGGAGCTGCCAGGGCGAGAACGATGGGGGTCTTGTCTACTGAAGTGACTGGGGGGAGATAGTGCTGCTGCTGCTGCTGCTGCTAAAGTAAGAGAGCGTGGTGCAGAAGAGCAGGAACTAGCATTTCAGGTTGCAGGCGAGAGAGGGGGGGAGCGGGGGAGGGGCGGGGAGAGGGGTGCGTGTACTGGAGAAGGTGCGGGTAGGGCTGAAGAGGAGGAAGCAGACGCACAGCTTGCAGGTTTCAACTCACCGCGCATGCAGAGGCAGAGGGGTGCGTGCGGGGAAACAGCTTGTGAGTGAGCGTATAATGATGAAGTTCTGTCAGTGCTGCTATGGCGCCCTGGGTTGCACCACGAGGAGTGGCGTTATGATGAGACATCTCAAAACCCCCACTCACCGCCCAAGCAGCAGCGGAGGGATGCGAGGGGAAGAGTCTTTGAGTAGGTAAATAGAGACGCAGATCCGCCAGTGCTGTGATGGTGGCCTAGGTTGCACCACGAGGAGTGGCGTTATGATGAGATGACACACCTCTCAGGCCTCAACTCACCGCCCATGCAGCAGCGGAGGGGTGGGAAAGGAGGAGCCTTTGAGTGAGCACATAGGAGATCAGACGTACCGCAGAGAGTGACGTTTTCAGACACCTCACACACCCCCACTCACCGCCCATGCAGCAGCCGAGGGGTGGGAGGGAAAGAGCATGTGAGTGAGCACATAGAGACGCAGATCCTCGAGTATTACCATGGAGGCCTGGGTTGCACCTATGGAAGAGGCGTTTGACACATCTCAACTCAAACCCCCACTCACCGCCCAAGCAGCAGCAGAGGGGTGCGAGGGGAAGAGCCTGTGAGTGAGGGTATAGAGACGCAGATCCGCCAGTGCTGCCTTGGCAGCATGGGCTGCACTGCACCTGCACCTGCACCTATGGGAGTGGTGTTATGAGGAGATCATGATGCATCTCAAACCCTCAACTCACCGCCCATGCAGCAGCGGAGGGGTGTGAAGGGAAGAGCCTGTGAGTGAGCATATAGAGACGCAGATCCGCCAGTGCTGCCATGGTGGCCTGGATGAACCTTGGCGAGTGGCGCTGGTGGGGAGGGAGGGGGGAGAGGCGAGAGGGTCAGGGTAGAATGGAGAATAAGTGATGTGGAGAAGGAAAGACAAGACAAGGAGGGAGCAAGAGAGAAGCGAGAAGAGAGAGCAGATGCGTTGGGGGAGAGAGAGCGAGCAGTTACTACAACAAGGCTGGTGGGGAGTGGAGTGTTGCAATGGTAGCAGAGCCAGCAGGTGGTAACCAGCAAATGAAGGGAGCAGCTGAGTGCAGCGCTTATCATGCCTTTCTTTAAGTGCATAAGAGAAGAAAACACTCACAACGAGCCAGGGCGTGTCGCAGCGCAAGAGGGCGAGCAGGCGGTAAGCAGCGGCGAAGAGCAGCGGGTGGAGGAAGGAGCGAGCTGCCCACTCAGGCTGCCACTCCCACGTGAGATAGCCGTAGCATCAGGGGAGAAATGAAGAGAGAGGAGGGGCGCAAAGGAGAGGAGGAGGAGGGCGGTCTCAGAGGTGGGGGAGAGGGCACGTTGATGCAGGAAGGTGAGAGGAAGCGACGCAGGAGAGGAATGGAAGAGAGGAGGGAGGATGACTGAAACAACCAGCTACATTCCACTGCTTGATGAAATGATACAATGACAAAACAATCACAGCAAAAATGGATCACTGAATCACTTCTTTTCTTCCATCCAAACACCATCCTGTTCACCACCTCTGGTCCCTGCCGGAATTCGGTCGGGTTGAAACTAAGTCACAGCGTCGACCCATACCACATCAGTCACCCTGATGCAACTACCCGAGACATCAAAACTCACCCGAACACCATCCGGTGTGCCACCTCGGGTCCCTGCCAGAACTCGTCCGGGTTAAAATAGGTCTGCACTGCCACACTGTTGAGTAACCTGCGGCCAGGAAGGCAGGAAGGGGGAAACAGGATGGGGGGGGGGGGAGGGGGAGGGAAAGGGGGAGGGTGAAGCCTCCTGAAACACCACTCTCACCAGGTGCGCCACCTCGGGTCCCTGTCAGAACTCGTCCGGGTTGAAATAGGTCTGCACTGCCAGACTGTTTAGCAGCCTGCAGCCAAACAGCCAGGGAGGGGGAAGGGTGAAAGTGGAGAGGGGGAAGAGGGGAAGGGGGCAGGGGGGGAAGGGGAGGTGGGGAAAGAGGGAGAGAGAGGGGGAGGAGAGAAGGTTTGAAGATGTCGTGCAGCCCTCTCAAGTTTCAAAACTTCAACGCGACAGCATTGCGGAAGCCAAGAGGAACCTGCTTCGTTGCACCCGTCGTCTCTGCTGACCTGAACGCGAGAAGAGCGAGGAAGAGGCCTTTCGGAGGCCCAACGGTCGATTGGTTAGATGTCTCAAATTTCATCGCACTCATCGTTTTTGCTGACCTGAACGTGAGCAGCGCGAGAGGAAGAGGCCTTTCGGAGGCCCAACGGTCGGCGGCATTTTTACAGTCGACTACTAAAAAACCGGCAGAAAATTCGTTTAACGTGTCGTTTCTGCTGACCTGAACGCGAGAAGCGCGAGGAAGAGGCCTTTGGGCGGCCCAACGGTCGGCACGGTGGATTGGTGCTTAGAACCCATTGCCGCTGCTGACGACCGCGATGTCTTTTGAGCCGACTCAGGAGTCACCTCGGCCGGCGCTGTGGATTGCCGCTGCTTCGAACCCAGGTTTAGGGAGGACCGCGCTCGCTCGACGAACTTTTCGGCTATAGTAGCGGAAGGCTTACTGCGTGGTATGTAATCAAGCCAGCTTGGCTTGTAGCGAGCGCGACGCTTGGCATGTGCGACAGCGCGGCGCGCGAGATGCGCATTTCAGGATGAATCGTGCGGCCGGCGAGATTCTACTATTCGGGGACTCATCTGGCACCATGGACGGACAGACATGAATCGCTTACTAGAAGAGAATTTAGCTAGAATCTGGATTCTGGAAAACACTGACAGCCTCGCAGCTTAGAATGGCTGCTTGGGCGATGAAGCGAAAGAGAGCGGTCCTTGCGAATTCTGGAATACTGGAGATGCGATGTGATGTTCTGTTCGCCAGAGTTCGCCTGAGTTTACAGGTTTCAGGACACTGTATTTCAGGTTTCCGATTTGCACCTTCTAACCTCGCGGCAAACCTAGAAACCGTTCCCTACAAAAGCTCCATTCGTTCACCTGAAGTGTTTCGAACTCCCAATGCGGCACGCCCTAGAACACTGGACAGAGCAAGGTAACCGTTGCCCTGGCAGTTCAGCCACGTGCGTGAATGATCGGGAGTCCAGACCAGACTGCGCTAACGCGTCTCCGCATAAGTCGCTCGAATTTAGCCGAATTTCCTGATCCCTACGCAACGGCATCATTCGCTGCGATCGCCTCGCCTCTTTCCTCCATGAGGCGACGCCAGTCCCTCTCCCTCCTCTCCGCGCATCTCCGCCGTCTACAGCAGCAGAACGGACACGTGTCGTCATCCAATGCCGCGATTACCCTCGCATCGTCATTGCAGCCCTCCTTACAGCCGCCATCAGTCGCCTCTCCTCCAGAGCCAAGTCACGCAGCTACCTCGCCGTTCTTCGCGAACTTCGCGAGTAACCAGACTTTGCCGTTCACGTCGTTGAATGTCGCACTAGAACTTCCTTCGTCGCAGTCGCCAGTGCCAAGTCACAAATCCATCTCCCCACCGCAATTCGCGCTCACCCGGACGCGCAGAAGTCTCCATTCATCCGCCGTACCATGGCCGCCCAGAGCGTGCTCCCGATCGACGGCTGTCAGCATCTCCCCAGTTGACGGACGGTCAGATGCGGCTCTCGATCCTGGCAGGGCGCGCCGATGGCTGCGAGGGCCAGCAAAAGCGGGATCTGAGGTGCTGTTGAGACCGAATCAGCCGTTCCTGCTGTCTGCTAGTTTCTCTACCGATGGTGGGCCATGCTGCAGTCTTCTATTTCGGGTCGAGCTGACTCACAAGTCACCGCTTCTCACTCATGATGCATTTTCCCCTTTTCAACCCTCCACGCCATTGCTTTCTGTTTTTTTTTTTTTTTTTTTCTAAAAAAACCGAGCTGACTCACAAGTCACCGCTCGTCACTCATGATGCATTTTCCCCTTATCAAGCGGGATCTGAGCTGCTGTTTCCACGCCATCACTTTCTTCCCGATTCCTCCCCTCCTTCCCTCCTCCTCGTCTCCTCGTTTGTCGTTTTCAGCGTCCTCCACCACGCCACCGCCACCCGTGATGCCGGCCGAGTTAGCAGCAGTGGTGGAGAGGCGCCTCTCTGCCGTCTTGGCCCGCCACCAGCAGCTGGAAGAGCTGCTTTCGCAGGTGAGGCCTGTTGTTCTCGTGCTGTCCTCGCACGTGCGTCTTTCAGCGTCCTCCACACCACCACCACCGGTGATGCCGGCCGAGTTAGCAGCAGTGGTGGAGAGGCGCCTCTGTGCCGTCTTGGCCCGCCACCAGCAGCTGGAAGAGCTGCTCTCGCAGGTCAGGCGCTATCTCATCTGAGGTGCTTCTTTCGAATGCTATCTTAGGGGAAGGTGTTATCTGGCGTAGTGCATGATGCTATCTGTGGTTATGTTCAAGAGAGGTGTTACCTGGTGTCTGGTCTTGCCACCTACCCGCAGGAGGAGCTGCCCTCTAGTGTGAGGCTCTTGCTGATATGCTGGGTGAGGCAAGGCAAAGTGTGCGAAGTTGCCCCTGGGTGGAGGGTTCAAGGTTTAGGGTGCAGCTGCTGGCGAGGATTGATCATGGCTGCTGCTGTTCAGTGCACTGCACTGCATTTGATTGCCACACGTCCCCACTCGGCTCACTTTCCCGGCTTGTTGACCGAACTCAAAGGCGAGAATCGAGCGATGAAGCTGTTGTTTAGTGCGGTGCAGTGCAGTGCAGTGCAGTGAAGTGCTCTTTTTCGCTGCTCCTCTCCACCGCTTCGGTCACTTTCCCTGCCTGATTTCCCTGCCACCCCAGCCTGACACGTCACCAGACGACCTGGCGAGAGCAGGCAAGGAGATGAGCGATCTGGCGCCAGCTGTCGCAATCGCACTGGAGCTGCAGAAGAAGACAAAGGTAATCCTTGGGAATGTGGTGGCTAGCTGCTGGGTAAATTCTAATCATCCCCAAGAAGCAGCAGGGTACAAAGCACTGTGCCCTTTGAGGTCCGCTGCATGCCATGGTGTGTTGCTGTTCAAGGCTTTAGCACAACATTTGCTTTTCAATCTGTCAAGGTAATTCATTGTGCCTCTTTTTTCGGCCCTCAGGAGCTAGAAGACTTGCACGCCCTACTAAAGGGACAAGGGCAACCTTATAATGAGGACAAAGACACGAAGGGAGGGAAGACAGAAGGAGGCAGGGAGGCGGATGAGGAGGACGAGGAGCTGCGAGCGATGGTGTGGGAGGAGATCGGGGTGGTGGGGGGGGAGAGGCAGGCGCTGCTGCGGAGTGCAGTGAGGCGGATACTACCAAAGGATGAGGCGGACAGCCGAGGATGCATCGTGGAAGTGCGAGCAGGTGAGAGGTGAGATGCGAATGGTGTTTGCTGGTTGCTGCTAGCTACGCTCTAGTGCAGTGAGGAGGTTGGGGTGGTGGGGGGGAGGAGAGAGAGGCACTGCTGCGGAGTGCAGTGAGAAGAATCTTACCAAGGGACGAGGAGGCAGACAGCAGGGGATGCATTGTGGAGGTGCGAGCAGGTGAGAGGTGAGACGCAAATAATGTTTGCTGGTTACTACTAGCTATACGCCAAGGTAAAGTGTGTGGGGGGAGAGGGAGGCACTGCTGCGGAGTGCAGTGAGGCGGATCCTGCCAGGGGACTAGGCGGATAGCCGAGGATGTATTGTAGAGGTGCGAGCAGGTGAGGTGAGTGAGATGCGAGTGGTCTTTATATTTATTTATTGTTGTCTAGGCCAAGCACCTCTGACTTGCTCTTGTTTGTTTGGTGTGCTCTCACCACTTGTGGTTGTCTTGTATGTGTTTGTTCTCCTTGCACCATCTATAACCTGCTCCTGGTCACTCAGGGCCTAAGATTTCCCTCCTCCCATCTCTTCCCCCTCTCTCTCAAACGGTCCTTCGTATTGATTCAGGCAGGGTACAAACATGCACATTTATCTGGTGATAACCTCTCTCCCATCTCTGACCTTTCTCTCCTTCTCATCACCCCGCCTCCCCTTCCCCCCTCTTCCTCCCATTCATCGCCTCTCAACCCGTGTATGCAGGCACGGGTGGCGACGAGGCAGCCCTCTTTGCTGCTGACGTCTTCCAGATGTGAGTAGGGTAAGGCGCTCATTTGACTGAGGGTAATCACCATACCGATGGTGCTCACGGGAGGCTGATTGGATCATTCTGAGGGTAAAAATGGCATGATGGGGCATGATGGTATGAGGGATTGGATCATACCAGCATCCTGATGGTATGTTCCGATTTGATGCTGCTCATAGAGGCTTTTTCCTGAACCCCGAACCTTAACTCTCCAACAAAACTTTACTGGGTGGTATGAGGGGGGAGTGGGGCATGGTTCTCATTGCAGGTACCAGCGCTTCTGTTCAAAGAGAGGATGGCAGTTTGAGGTTCTCGATGTCACGGAGATTGAAAAGGGCGGATACAAGGTGGGTAATGCAGTGCAGCAGAGGGCGCAGACAGTGCAGCAGAGGGCGCAGACAGTGCAATGTTGCAGAGAGTAGCGACCACTGAGAAAGCAGGCAGGGCAATGTGCATACAATACGAGCACCCTTGTGATCTCCATCCAGCCTGCCCGTATCTCGAGTTTTGAGACGTCTCAACACTCCATCCGTCCTTCCCGTGTCTCATCTCACCTCCCCTCCTCCACCGCTGCTCGATCCTTCCCCCTCCCATGCCTCGCAACTCACAGGAAGCGAGTGCGAGTGTGACAGGCGAGGGGGTGTTCGGGTGGCTCAAGTGGGAGAGTGGCGTGCACAGGGTGCAGCGGGTTCCAGCTACAGAGAAATCAGGCAGGGTGCACACGAGTGCTGCTACCGTAGCGGTGTTGCCCCAAGCTGACGAGGTGAGTGGTGCAGAGGGGTACAGAACGGTGCAGTGCAGAACGGGTGGGCGTGTTTGGGTGGCTCAAGTGGGAGAGTGGCGTGCACAGGGTGCAGCGGGTACCGGCTACGGAGAAGGCAGGCAGGGTGCACACGAGTGCTGCTACCGTGGCTGTGCTGCCCCAAGCAGACGAGGTGAGCGGTGCAGAATAGTGCAGAGCGGTGCAGTGCAGAGGGTAGCGAGGGAGCACAGGGTGCAGAGGGTAGCTGCCTGCCACAGAGAAGGCAGGCAGGGTGCACACGAGTGTGCGTGCGTGTGGGTTTTGCTGTGCAGGTGGACGTTCTAATCCGGCAGTCCATGCATGCATGCTCTTTCCCCCCTTGCAGGTGGACGTGTCAATCCGGCAGGAGGATGTGCACATCGACACGTACTGCAGCGGGGGGTGTGGAGGGCATCTTGAGACATCTCGAAGCTCAGTTGCATTCGTCTATGTGCACGTGACGTGTGTCGCCCCTTACAGGTGGACGTGTCAATCCGGCAGGAGGATGTGCACATCGACACGTACTGCAGCGGGGGCTGTGGAGGGCAGTCGGTGAACCATCTTTGAGGCATCATGAACCCAGCTGCATTGGTGCGTGTGTGTGTGTGTGTGTGTGTTTCTGTGTGTGTCGCCCTTGCAGGTGGACGTGTCAATCAGGCAGGAGGATCTCCGCATTGATACGTACCGCAGGGGGAGGGGGGCGGGTGTGTGGAGGGCAGTCAGTGGACCGACCTTGAGGCATTATTAACCTGGCTGTATTGGTGTGTGCTTGCATGGATGCATGCAGGTGGACGTGTCAATCAGGCAGGAGGATCTGCGAATCGACACGTACCGCAGCGGCGGGTGTGGAGGGCAGTCGGTGAACACGACCAACAGTGCCGTGCGCATCACCCACTTGCCAACCGGGCTTGTGGTGGCTATTCAGGACGAGCGCTCTCAGCACATGGTGAGGATGATAGCACTCGGGTGGGGTTCAGAGTGGTGAGGAGAGGGAAGGAGGGAAGGAGGCAAGGAGGTGAACACGACCAACAGTGCCGTGCGCATCACCCACTTGCCGTCGGGGCTTGTGGTGGCGATACAGGACGAGCGGTCTCAGCATATGGTGGGTAAGGCAGGACAATGAGTTGAGGAGAGGAGAGGAGAGACTAGGAGGCCATTGGAGGGCAGTCGGACGACCAACAGTGCCGTGCGCATCACCCACTTGCCAACCGGGCTTGTTGTCGCCATTCAGGACGAGCGGTCTCAACACATGGTGAGGATGATAGCACCCACGTGGGGTGAAGAGGGGTGAAGAGGGGTGAAGAGGGGTGAAGAGAGGGAAGGAGGCTAGGAGGCAATGGGAGGGCAATCGGTGAACACGACCAACAGTGCCGTGCGCATCACCCACTTGCCCTCGGGGCTTGTGGTGGCTATTCAAGATGAACGGTCTCAACACATGGTAGGGTGAGGCTGTTCGACCTGCAGATTCTGGGACGCCTCGAAACCTCCCCTCGCTTCTCACCGCTCTCACTTCTCTCCCCCTCTCTTCTCTCCCCCTCCTCTCCACTTCTCTCCCCCTCCTCCCCACTTCTCTCCCCCACACAGAACAAGGCCAAGGCGCTCAAGGTGCTGAGAGCGAGGCTGTTCGACCTGCAGTGTTTCATACGCCAAAAAAATTCCCCTCTCTTGATCCCCCCCTCCTCCCTACTACTTTCTCTCACTCCCACAGAACAAGGCCAAGGCGCTCAAGGTGCTGAGAGCGAGGCTGTTCGACCTGCAGAGGAAGCAGGCGGAGGCGTCTCGGTCGCAGCTGAGACACGGGCAGGTGAGCGATATGGTAGATGAGAGATGGGCAGGGGAGGGATGGGCAGGGGAGGGATGGGCAGGGGAGGGATGGGGCACAGGTGAGGGATAGGGCACAGGTGAGGGATAGGGCACAGGTGAGGGATAGGGCACAGGTGAGGGATAGGGCACAGGTGAGGGATAGGGCACAGGTGAGGGATAGGGCACAGGTGAGGGATAGGGCACAGGTGAGGGATAGGCAGGTGGGGGTGATGGGCATGTGAAGGTGATGGGCATGTGAAGGTGATGGGCATGTGAAGGTGATGGGCATGTGAAGGTGATGGGCATGTGAAGGTGATGGGCATGTGAAGGTGATGGGCATGTGAAGGTGATGGGCATGTGAAGGTGATGGGCATGTGAAGGTGATGGGCATGTGAAGGTGATGGGCATGTGAAGGTGATGGGCATGTGAAGGTGATGGGCATGTGAAGGTGATGGGCATGTGAAGGTGATGGGCATGTGAAGGTGATGGGCATGTGAAGGTGATGGGCATGTGAAGGTGATGGGCATGTGAAGGTGATGGGCATGTGAAGGTGATGGGCATGTGAAGGTGATGGGCATGTGAAGGTGATGGGCATGTGAAGGTGATGGGCATGTGAAGGTGATGGGCATGTGAGGTGATGGGCATGTGAAGGTGATGGGCATGTGAAGGTGATGGGCATGTGAAGGTGATGGGCATGTGAAGGTGATGGGCATGTGAAGGTGATGGGCATGTGAAGGTGATGGGCATGTGAAGGTGATGGGCATGTGAAGGTGATGGGCATGTGAAGGTGATGGGCATGTGAAGGTGATGGGCATGTGAAGGTGATGGGCATGTGAAGGTGATGGGCATGTGAAGGTGATGGGCATGCTCCCTGTGTCCTGGCATGCTCCCTGTGTCCTGGCATGCTCCCTGTGTCCTGGCATGCTCCCTGTGTCCTGGCATGCTCCCTGTGTCCTGGCATGCTCCCTGTGTCCTGGCATGCTCCCTGTGTCCTGGCATGCTCCCTGTGTCCTGGCATGCTCCCTGTGTCCTGGCATGCTCCCTGTGTCCTGGCATGCTCCCTGTGTCCTGGCATGCTCCCTGTGTCCTGGCATGCGAGGCAAGCGATCAAGCATGTATTTCACCCTGCTCTCACTTTTGAGTCGACTCAAAAGTCACCCCAAGCATGTATTTCACCCTGCTCTCACCAATACAGTGTTCCGTTCCGTTGACCTTCTTGCTACCGTCCCGTCCTTCCTCCCTCTCATCCTCCCTCCCCCTCGTCCTCCCTCCCTCCCCTCATCCGTTCCTCCTCCTCCTGTTTTGTTTCAGATCGGCTCTAGCGATCGCTCAGCACGCATTCGCATGCACAACTTTTCCCATCCTCCCCTAGGCTAATACCCCTCCTGCCGTCCCACCCTCTTATCCTCCCCTAGGCTAATACCCCTCCTGCCGTCCCACCCTCTTATCCTCCCCTAGGCTAATACCCCTCCTGCCGTCCCACCCTCTTATCCTCCCCTAGGCTAATACCCCTCCTGCCGTCCCACCCTCTTATCCTCCCCTAGGCTAATACCCCTCCTGCCGTCCCACCCTCTTATCCTCCCCTAGGCTAATACCCCTCCTGCCGTCCCACCCTCTTATCCTCCCCTAGGCTAATACCCCTCCTGCCGTCCCACCCTCTTATCCTCCCCTAGGCTAATACCCCTCCTGCCGTCCCACCCTCTTATCCTCCCCTAGGCTAATACCCCTCCTGCCGTCCCACCCTCTTATCCTCCCCTAGGCTAATACCCCTCCTGCCGTCCCACCCTCTTATCCTCCCCTAGGCTAATACCCCTCCTGCCGTCCCACCCTCTTATCCTCCCCTAGGCTAATACCCCTCCTGCCGTCCCACCCTCTTATCCTCCCCTAGGCTAATACCCCTCCTGCCGTCCCACCCTCTTATCCTCCCCTAGGCTAATACCCCTCCTGCCGTCCCACCCTCTTATCCTCCCCTAGGCTAATACCCCTCCTGCCGTCCCACCCTCTTATCCTCCCCTAGGCTAATACCCCTCCTGCTGTCCCACCCTCTTATCCTCCCCTAGGCTAATACCCCTCCTGCCGTCCCACCCTCTTATCCTCCCCTAGGCTAATACCCCTCCTGCCGTCCCACCCTCTTATCCTCCCCTAGGCTAATACCCCTCCTGCCGTCCCACCCTCTTATCCTCCCCTAGGCTAATACCCCTCCTGCCGTCCCACCCTCTTATCCTCCCCTAGGCTAATACCCCTCCTGCCGTCCCACCCTCTTATCCTCCCCTAGGCTAATACCCCTCCTGCCGTCCCACCCTCTTATCCTCCCCTAGGCTAATACCCCTCCTGCCGTCCCACCCTCTTATCCTCCCCTAGGCTAATACCCCTCCTGCCGTCCCACCCTCTTATCCTCCCCTAGGCTAATACCCCTCCTGCCGTCCCACCCTCTTATCCTCCCCTAGGCTAATACCCCTCCTGCCGTCCCAACCTCTTATCCACCCCTAGGCTAATAACCCTCCTGCCGTCCCACCCTCTTATCCTCCCCTAGGCTAATACCCCTCCTGCCGTCCCACCCTCTTATCCTCCCCTAGGCTAATACCCCTCCTGCCGTCCCACCCTCTTATCCTCCCCTAGGCTAATACCCCTCCTGCCGTCCCACCCTCTTATCCTCCCCTAGGCTAATACCCCTCCTGCCGTCCCACCCTCTTATCCTCCCCTAGGCTAATACCCCTCCTGCCGTCCCACCCTCTTATCCTCCCCTAGGCTAATACCCCTCCTGCCGTCCCACCCTCTTATCCTCCCCTAGGCTAATACCCCTCCTGCCGTCCCACCCTCTTATCCTCCCCTAGGCTAATACCCCTCCTGCTGTCCCACCCTCTTATCCTCCCCTAGGCTAATACCCCTCCTGCCGTCCCACCCTCTTATCCTCCCCTAGGCTAATACCCCTCCTGCCGTCCCACCCTCTTATCCTCCCCTAGGCTAATACCCCTCCTGCCGTCCCACCCTCTTATCCTCCCCTAGGCTAATACCCCTCCTGCCGTCCCACCCTCTTATCCTCCCCTAGGCTAATACCCCTCCTGCCGTCCCACCCTCTTATCCTCCCCTAGGCTAATACCCCTCCTGCCGTCCCACCCTCTTATCCTCCCCTAGGCTAATACCCCTCCTGCCGTCCCACCCTCTTATCCTCCCCTAGGCTAATAACCCTCCTGCCGTCCCACCCTCTTATCCTCCCCTAGGCTAATACCCCTCCTGCCGTCCCACCCTCTTATCCTCCCCTAGGCTAATACCCCTCCTGCCGTCCCACCCTCTTATCCTCCCCTCCTCCAGATCGGCTCTGGTGATCGCTCGGAGCGAATCCGCACGTACAACTTCCCGCAGGGCCGAATCACGGACCACCGCGTGGGGGTCACCCTGCACTCGCTGCCTCAGGTGGGTGCCCTGTGCGCATGCCCATGGGGATGTTGCATTAAATCATGCTTCCAAGTGCTGCAACTTCCCGCAGGGCCGAATCACGGACCACCCTCCCTCCCTCCCTCCCTCCCTCCCTCCCTCCCTCCCTCCCTCCCTCCCTCCCTCCCTCCCTCCCTCCCTCCCTCCCTCCCTCCCTCCCTCCCTCCCTCCCTTCCTCCCTCCCTCCCTCCCTCCCTCCCTTCCTCCCTCCCCTCCCTCCCTCCCTCCCTCCCTCCCTCCCTCCCTCCCTTCCTTCCTCCCTCCCCTCCCTCCCTTCCTTCCTCCCTCCCTCCTACTCCTTCCGCTCGTCCATCCACAACAGGTGCTGCAAGGCGAGAGGGCTTGGAGGCGTTTGTAGTGGCGCTGGAGACAGCAGCAGAGACAGCACCCTCTCACCCCCCAACCTTGGTTCCACCCCTCCTCCCTCTGCCCCTCCTCTTCGACCCCCCAGGTGCTACAAAGCGAGGGCTTAGAGGCGTTTGTAGTGGCGCCAGAGAAGGACCTGTTCCTTTCCCTCCCTTACGTGCCTCTCCAACGGGTGCTCCAAGGTGCGGACTTAGAGGCGTTTATAGTGGCGCTGGCGGCAGCAGCACAGAAGGACCTGCTCCTTTCTCTATCTCGATTCTGTCCTCTCTTCCCCTCCTCTCTCTGCTCGTTAATCCCCCAGGTGTTGCAAGGGGAGGGCCTGGAAACGTTCATAGAGGCCCTGGAGGCCGCAGCAGAGAAGGAGGCGATAGATGGCCTGGCCAAGGCAGGGTAGGTGCATGGAGCTGGAATGCTGAAACCGACACAGCTGAGTTTCGGGCAGCTGAGATTGGGGCAGCGGAGACTGGGGCAGCTGAAACCGGGTGGGTGGACACACGGTGCACATGGGTGGGTGGGCAGTTCTCAGTTCCCTTGGTCAAACTTATGGTGTAACACACTCTGCTTTTTTTTTATTAGGTACCAAACGTATGCACGATGTGTTATATGAGGTTCGTAGTGGTTTACCATGTTGTGGTGTTACTGTGGCACATTCACGTCAATGCCTCAAATACTACCCGTATGCATACGCCGATGATGTCAGCCGGACCACTACTGCATAAAGCAGGTTCAAGTGAAGAGAACATGCGTGCATGTACAGTACCAATTGATCAGCACTACAATAAATCAGCAGCTCGGTTGAGGCCATTCCTCAATTCCATTCCATGACACAGTTGGAAAAACAACAAATGACTGGTCAGATCAGACCTCAATCAAATTGCATCGCACAACCAATATAAGCAACAACAGCGCCTGCCTCGGTCAAAGAGTAAGCAGCGCCGCCAATCAGTCCGGGCCTTGCGTGTCCTATCTTCTTCCTCTCGACCTCTTCCCCTTACCTCTCCCTTTCCCTCCCGAACCCCTCTTTTTCCCCTTCCCCCCTCCACCACCCCCTCTCCTTCTCCCCCCGCCGCCAAACCCTGACAAATCCTTATCCCCAATCACCCCTCCGCCCTTCCTTCCTCCCCCATCCCCTCCAATCTTCCACTTCCTCGGATCAACATGCAACACCCCACCTTGGTAATCCCCATCCGAGGCTTTAAGACCTCGCTCCTCCGCCCGCCAGTCAACTCGCGCCTTTCTCGGGCGGCCTTCTTTGGCCTCTTCCTCTTCGGCTAGCAGCCGGGCGAGGGTGCCCTGGCCCAGCCGCCTGTGCTTGCTCTTCTTGTCGCGCGGGTTTGCTCCCTTTACTTGAATCATTCCAGAGGCAACTTCCTGGAAGCATAATATAAATCAAGGCAAGGGAGGGTGGGGAAGAGAGGAGAGCAAGGAGGGGAGGTTAATGGACGGGGGGGTTGTTCTTTGAAACGACCTTTGACTCGACTCAAAAACTACTTGTGAGTTGACTCGAGACACCTCTTCCTCTTCTGCCAGCAGGCAGGCTAGAGTGCCCTGCCCCAGCCGCCTGTGCTTGCTCTTCTTGTCTCGCAGGTTCCCTCCCTTCACTTGGAGCATTCCAGAGGCAACTTCCTGGAAGGATCGTGAGGGGAACGCATGGGAGAGTAGTAAAGGAAGCAAGGGAGAGCAGGAGGGTCAGGGTGAGGAGGGTGGTCCTATCCTATGAGGCAGATTCTAGCCGGCCAGGCGAGAGTGCTCCAGCCCAGCCTCTTCTTTCTTTGGCCTCTTCCTCTTCTGCCAGCAGCCGGGCAAGGGTGCCCTGCCTCAGCCTCCTGTGCTTGCTCTTCTTGTCGTGAGGATTCCCTCCTTTCACTTGGATCATCCCAGGGGCAACTTCCTGGAAGGGACGTGAGAGGAAAGCCAAGGGAGTAGCGAAGGAAGCAAGGGAAAGAAGGACGGTCAGAGGAAAAAAGAAATGGTGGTGCTGGGAGGTGGTTCAGATGGCTGGGCAAGGGTGCCCTGCCCCAGCCTCCTGTGCTTGCTCTTCTTTTCACACGGGTTCGCAGAAATCAAAGCAAGTAGAGAGGGTTAGGGGAAGGAGAGGGTGGTGCTTCGAAGTGATTCACAGACTTGACTTATACTGGTTGATGTGTGAAGGTACGGACGGCTACAGGTCAACAACTGGTCTCTTCCCTCCCCCACATCTCTCCACTTCCACATCTCATCCCGTCTCTTCCACCCTTGCCCAGCAACTCTATTGTGCAGCCATGCTCCAACCAACCCACCTCCTCAAGTTCACGCAGCCGTTTCTTCCGCTGCACCGACCGATACCCATCCGTGGCTGCAATGTTCATGCTCATGCGCTTGGGCGGCTGTGCGGTGGAGAGGGGGAGGGTGGTGGACGGAAGAGCGAGAAGGATAGGGATGAAAGGCCCTTCCGTTGCTGCTATGTTTATGCTCATGCGCTTGGGCGGCTGTGAAGACAAGGGCGGCAGGAAGGAAGGGGGGGGGGGGAAGAGAAGGGGAGAGAGCGGCACAGTCGAAAGGGAGGAAACAGAGTGACAAGCCACGAGGAGCCAAGACGCTTTTGTAACCACGATGTTCACACACGCATGCACATCCACGCACGCACGCACGCACGCACGCACATGCACAGCACACGCACGCACACCCCCTCCCACCTTCACCCCCAGATGCCGCACAATGTGGTTTGGCTCCCCTCTTGTGCTTCATTTCTCTTCCCCAGATCCCTCAAGCTGACTCTCACCCCCACACAAAACAAAAGCACACACCCACACACACACCCACACCCACACCCACACCCACACAAACAACACTCACCTTCACACCAAGATGTCGCACGATGTGGTTCGTCTCCCACTGCTTGCGCTGGTTCCACTCCATCGTTGACACTCCCAACCGCTCTGTCTCCCTCGCAATCGCAATGTACTCCTCCATGTGCAGCCGCGTCTCCTTCTCCTCCTCGTCCTCCTCCTCCTTCTTCACCGCTCTCCCCTTTCCTCTCCTCCGCCGCCACCCCTCTGGTTCTTCAACAGGTGCATTTGGGTCCTTGAAAATGTTGGCAACCTTGGACGACTGGGGAGGGGGAGGGGAGAAAAGTTCAGCAAGGGGGAGGAGGAAAAAACAGCTTCTACCCTCCTCCTCCCCCTCCTCCGCCGCCACCCCTCTGGTTCTTCAACAGGTGCGTTTGGGTCCTTGAAAATGTTGGCCACCTTGGACGACTGGGGAGGGGGAGGAGCAGCAAGGGGAGGAAAAGAAAGAGTATGTCTGTCCCTCTGCTTTCCCTCCCCCTCCTCCGCCGCCTCCCCTCTGGTTCCTCCACCGGTGCGTTGGGATCCTTGTAATTGTTGGCGACCTTAGAGGACTGGGGTACAGGGAACGGGAAGTGCAGCAAGGGAAAAAAAAAAAGGAGAGTGTGGCCCTCTGGCTTCGCTCCCCCTCCACCGCCTCCCCTCTGGTTCTTCCACTGGTGCGTTGGGATCCCTGAAAATATTGGCGACTTTAGACGACTGGGGGGGGGGGGGGGGAGGGGGGGGGAGGGGAGGAGGGCAAAGTGCAGCAAGGGGAGGGAAAACAGAATCTGCCTACTCTCCGCCTCCCCACTGGCTCCTATTGCACAGCCTTGGGGTCCTTGGAAATATTGGCAACCTCGGATGTGTGGGGAGGGGGGGATGGCCACGTGTAGATTTTGTTTTCTTGAGACGTCTCAAAAATGGCTCCTAATGCAAAGCCTTGGGGTCCTTGGAAATATTGGCAACCTCGGATGTGTGGGGAAGTGGGAATGTGTTTGGGTGGAGGGGGAGGAGGGAGGTGGGGTGGGGCTGAGAGAGGGTGGGAAGAAGGCATATAAAGAGGAAGGGAAGTGCTGTAACGTGAGGAGAAGAGGGATTTCGCACAACACACCGCAGTGCACCGCACCACAACGAACCGCACCACACTGCACTGCGCTGCACCGCACAGCGCCTCATCCCACCACACAGCAACATTCTCCATCCGCAGCTCACCATGAAGAGCTTTCTCTCCTTTCTGCTGCTGATCTGGCCGCCCAATAGGAGCTTGACACGTGTTGCTTTCTTCTTGAGGTTGCTCCCCTCCTGAAACACTATCACTTCCGGACCACTCACACCCCCACCCTCCTCCTCCTCTTCCTCCTCCTCTTCCTCCTCCTCTTCCTCTTCTTCCTCCTCCACTTCTTCCTCTTCCTCCTCCTCTTCCTCCTCCTCGTCTTCCTCTTCCCCCTCTTCCCCATCCTCCCCCTCCTCCTCCTCTTCCTCCTCCTCCCCGTCCTCCTCCTCCTCTTCCTCCTCATCCTCCCCTTCTTCCTCTCCCTCCTCCTGTTGTTGCACCTCCCTTCCTTCTCTCCTCCCACTCCGCACCACACTCCCATTCCCCACCATGGATCTACTCTCCCTCTGCGGCGCCTTCACACTGTCAGCTACCCGCTTGCCCTTGCCACCTGGCAGGTTTAGAAAAGGGGGCAGGAAGGAGAAGACAGACAGATAAGGAAAAGACGACTTTTGTGTCGGCTCACAGCACGCCTGCCCTAATAGTCTGTGCCGAAGAGGCAAGAAACGCGTAAGACGGATGGGGGGGAGGGGAGGGGAGGAGAAGGGAGGGGGGAAAGGCAGGCAGGCCAAGCAGGGTGTACCTTTGAATTCCACCTCCGAAAGTGGCTAAATTGAAGCCTGGGGTAACTATTGTGACTAAACCCCCATCAGATTCGAAGCTTGGGGTGTGCAGTGCAGCAGCGTGAGAGATAGTGAAGAGACGAAGAGACACGGAGATTCAGAAACCCACAACCCCCAAATCCGGAGCCGTATCGATCCCCAAACCCCAAACCCAGAGTCCTGGAATAGAGAGAACGTGCGTGATGCAGAAGAGCCATTGGGCGAACCTGTGGCGGTGCTTGGTTGTGCTTCTGCCGCTGCTGTGGAGCCGTTGGATCGGGTTCGATCAACGGCCTGTGCTGCTGCTGATTGCGAGGCAGCCCGGCTGGTCTGCTGCAGATCGTGTAGAATGGAGGGGAGGAGGGGGGGGAGGGGGGAGGGATGGGAAAGGAATCGGATGGGGGGAGGATGGAAGAGGATGGGGAAAGGGTGGGGCGAGGATGAGGGCGGAGGATGGGGAGAGTGTGGCCTTGGAAATTAATGTAAGGTTGACTTCTAAGTTCTAGGAATGGACGTACGAGGAGGAAGAAAAGAAAGACATTCGTTTCAGACACACATACCTGACCTGGTGTATTTGCTGACGTGGCAGCCGGCTGGAGTGATCCGTTGGCCGACTCGCCACGCTCATCATCTTGGAACATACTCATGAACATCTCGCCTGCAGTACAGTTCCAGTAACAATTACAGTTACACTTTCAGTTAAAATTACTCCGTCAGTACGACCATAGTCTTAGAAGATGCAATATTGACACAAGATAAAGGTTTAGTGCGGTATGCTAAGGCGGCATGAGGAGACAGCATAAGAACCGGGCACCTAAACCTCCCAGGTAAAACCCTGAACCCTTGATGTCATGGGATTGCTTCAGCACGTTTCAACTGACGAATTCGTGCGGTTGGCGATAATACTCGCCTCGTTTATTAGTCGACTCAAAAACAGAATTCGTGCGGATGGCGATAGTACTCGCCTCCGTATTCGTACCCTTGGAGAGCGTTTTCAGGAAAACCGGCATTATATGGACTTTGCTGAATGCTACGCTCCTCGTATCCATTACAGTTTGTAATGGATATTCACAAGTGATAATTTCAGTCGATTTTCCTGAAAAAGCGCCCGGTGCGGCAACGGCTAAAATCATCCCGCTAAGCTCCGTCTAATTTCCTTTCAAGGCAACTTCCCGCATATCTCCCTGAAGCGCATCCTTCGAATGATATTCCCAGTAGAATTTTGAGCCGAACCAGCTACGGGACTAGCCTAGTCACAACTTGCCTCGTTCTTCCAGTCGTTTCTGCAGCAGCGCCTGGATCGACGCGTCTAGCTCATCGTTTTTCTCCTCCTCGTCGTCGCTGCTGCTAACTCGTCTCTTCGTATCGCCGGCCTTCCGAGCTGGAGTCTTCCTCGTCACACCCATCTTCTGCCTTGAGCCGTTCGGTTCTCGATCCCTAGTTTTAACGAATGTTCTAGCTCTCACGGGTCGCGGACAGGCCGTTGTGGTGCTAAATTGTCTGCGATTGAAGTACCTCTGGTCAGGGTTTAGGGTGGTGGGACGAACTTGTGATCAGAGGCTTGGCGAATTTTAGAGAAGGTAACCAAAGTGGTTCGCAATTGACAAGAAGCCTCCATGTCGGATTGGTGGGCGACTTTAGGAAAGGGTGGGGGGAGGGCATAACGAAAATTGCCAGCTACCCAGACTTCGCAACAACCCGCCTTTGACATCGTCAACCCGTAAACCTGCGACCAACCAACCAGTCGCACACACAGCACAGCGAGACCACAGCATCTCGCACATCGCAGAGACCCCGTCCAACATTTGCGGCCAGACGTAATCAACACCCCCACCACCACCGCACCGCGACCTAAGTTAGGAGTATAATGGCATATGTTTCGTTCGTCTTGGCATCGCCGCTTTATTCGTTCGCTTAATCATTCGCATTACCTTTGTTCTTTGCGTCACTTTGTCGTTGCAGGTGGTTTTTGAGAACTATCGAAAACCACCTGTCGTCGCTACATCGTCTACTCTTCTCGCTCCGTCACACCACGTTGTTCGCAAGCGGCAGCACTCTGCAAGATTTCGTTTAGTTATTTTTTCGTCGATTCAAAAGTAGTTCGCTTGTAGATTCCACCGTCATGGACAATAACGGGGATAACATGGACGTGGACGGCATTCTTCAGCGGCTAAGGGAGAAATACTCCCCTAGTGCTGCACAGCCTTCGCACTCTCCACCCGAGCCTGCAAGTTCCGCGGGGGTTGCCGAACCTGGCGGTAGGTTCGGCAGTCCAGTTCATTTAACAGAGAAGCCTAAGAGGCAGGTGAAGTGGAAGGATCTGGAAGAAGGCCAATCAGAGGCGTCCACGTGGGATAACTTTGGCACCAGCAGCGCATTTTCGGGGAGTACTTTCGCGCTTGTAGGGGGTACAGAGGGGTTCAGAGATACAGGAGGAGGCGATGGGAGGAGAGCTAGTTTACCAGGCCGTGTTTCTGGTGCAGCTTCTGAAGCCGCTGCAGCTAATGCTGCTGGAAAACTGGGATCAGGAGCAGGAGCAGAATCCGGAGCAGAGCAACAGCAGTTGATTTCCGCCTTGCTCGATTTACAGTCGCTGCTGCAGGCGTCCCAGGAGGAAGCTTCCACGATGCAGGAAGAAAACGCCGAGCTACGCCGATCATTGAAGAGTGTGTGGGATGACGTGGCACGGGTGGAAGAGAGCAAGGGTCAGGTTCAGCTGCAGTTGTCACACGCACAGGAGCAGTTGGAACAGGCGGAGAGACAGCTGAAACAGGTACAGGCACAGGAACAGGCACAGGCAGAGGCGCAGGCACAGGAACGGCTATCCCAGGCCAACGGGCAGATATTGCAGCTGCAGACGGAGCTTCGGGCAGCTCAGGAAGAAGTTCGGGCTGCCCGGTCTGAGCTGGCGGTGGTTCGGGCTGAGCTGGCAGGTGCACAGGAGGAGGGGAGGGAGTTGGCAGAAGGGTTGAAAGAGGCGAGTGAAGAGGCGAGGGAACTTCGGGCAGATTTGGAAATTTTGAAAGAGAGTTTGATTGATGAGCAGACGCGTGCCGGGGAATATATGGAAGAAAATGAGAAGCTTGGGGAGCAGGTTCGGAAGTCCCTGACCACAGCTGCAAAGGCTCAGGCCGAAGCTGATGAGGTTCGGGAGGAGAATGAAAGGCTGCTGGAGGAAGTCGGGCAGCTGAAAGATGAGAATGAGCAGGCGCAAAGGGTTTTGGCGGCTGCCCAGGGGGAGCTCGGGCAGGTGCTGGAGGACGGGCAAGGGCAGCGTGAAAGAATGAAGGCACTTTTAGCTGAGAGCGGTCGTTTAAGGGAGGAAAATAGCAAGCTAAGGAAAGAGCTGGATGTAGTGAGAAGCCGTGAATCAGAGCGTGTGGTAAAGAGTACAGGAATGGAAGAGAGACGTGGGGGGGAGAGAGGAGGAGAGTATGGGTTAGGGGGGACTGGAATGGGAGGAGGGGAGAGTGGAGGAGAGGAGGGTGGAGGGGGAGGGGGGGGAGGGGGAGGAGCGGAGGGTGGAGGAGGAGGGGAGAGTTGGCAGGGGAGGGGAAACGAGACTGTTTTGTTGAGGCAGCTGGACGGGAGCTTGAGTGCTGCCCGGGAGGAAATAGCCCGGCTGAAAGCAGAGAACGAACGGCTGTGGAGATCTTTTGATGCTGCCCGAACAGGAGAAGGAGAAGGAGGGGGAAGAGTGGAGGGTGTAAGTGGCACGTTGCAATCTGCACTGGAAGAACTTGAGAGAGTGAGTGGGGAGAAGAATGAAGCAGACGAGAGGGCTGGCAGGCTTCAGGTAGATCTGGCTGTAGCAGAGGAGCAGCTCGCCAGACTACAGTCTCAGGTGGACCAGGAGAAAGATCAGGTGAAATCTCAGGTGGAAACAGCAGTGAGGGAGGCGGAAGAGAGGCAGAGGGCAGCGGAGGAGAGGGTTTCGGAGTTGATGCTACAGTTGGAGGGGTTAGAGGGGGTGGCGGCGCTGCGCAGCGGTGTTGATGTGGATCTGCTTTTAGAGAGGACAATGAGCATGAGCAGTGGTGGCAATGGTGGTGGGGGCTCTGTTGCAGGCTTTGCTACTGGCGCTGCTGCTGCTGCTGCTGCTGCTGCTGCTGCTGCTGCTGCTGCTGCTGCTGCTGCTGCTGCTGCTGCTGCTGCTGCTGGTTCTGCTGCTGCTGCTATCAGTACTGGTGCCGGTGCTGCGGGTGGTGTTGGTGGTGCTGCTGCTGATGCTGGGGAGGGATCAGGTGGGCGTGGTAGCAGCAGCAGGGCCAGTGTAGAGCCACTGACTTGGCGTCAGAAGTTTGCATACATTCCAGAAGAGGACAGAACCAATTGGCTGCTGGACGGCCTAGATCGCATGCACAGGGAGAATCAACGGCTCAAGATCCTCATCCGGCATCTGCAGTCAACGCTGGTCAAACAAGACGAGGAGGTGAGTCAGCTTCGGTCCCGAACCGACGAGTTGCTTCGGGCCGAGGCTGCTGGAGCGGCTGGGAGGGGCCGAGCCTCGGCAGCGGTTTCGGGAGCCGAGGCCGCAGCTGCAGCTGTGGAGGAGGTTCGGAATAAGTTGTTTGCTGCCGAAGCTGAGCAGGCTCGGCTGGCTTCCGAAGCTGAAGCCCTGCGCCAGGATCTTTGGACTGCCCTAGATCAATGCGGGCAGCTTGAGCGAACCGTTGCGTGGCTGGAGGAGGATCTCGGGCAGGTACAGCAGGAACTTTCGGCTGCCCAAGGAGAGGCCAGAGCTGCAAAATTTGACGCAGAACGGGCAGAAGAACGGGAAGAGGACACAGCAGCAGCACTCCACGAGTTGCAACGGGAGATGAACCGGCAGTTACATCAATCCAAAGAGACGACACAGCAGCTCAGTACTCGAGTCGTGGTGGCGGCAAGAGAAAGCCGCCTTCGAGCAGAAGAAGCACGAGCGTTTCGAGAAGCCAAGAGCTCGACAGTGGCTGAATTGAGTCGGGCTGTGGAGGGTTTGAGAGAGGAAGTGAGGGTGGCGAGAGGGAGAGAGAGAGTGAGGGAGAGGGAGGCTGCGAGGTCGAGAGAGGCTGCAGCGGAGGCGAGGAGGCAGTTGGAGGTGGAGCAGGAGAGGAGGGAGGGGAGGAGTGGGGGAGTGGCGGAGATGGGCGATGTGCTGCTGTGGCCGATTGACCTCTTTGTTCCTTCGCAGTTCTTTGTGTTCTGAGACAGTCAGGGATGCGAGGGAGAAGAATGGGCAGTGGATAGGGAGGGAGGGGTTCGTTCGTGTGCGTGCGGAGGTGTCTCGAGGAGTGAGAGCTGTGGCGAGAGCTTTGGGAATGAGCTGTGGGAAGAGTTCTGGAAGTGAGTGCTATGCTGAGGTGTCTCCAGAAGTGAGTGGTGTGCAGAGGTCACGTTCAGAGGCACCTGAAATGCAGGGTCAATGCAACCGTGGTGAAATGTTCTTGGAGTTTGAAGGTTGCAACTGACATGCCATTGGTCAGCAGAAGCTGGCTAGTAGGCTAAGGCTTTGTTCTGTAGGAGGACTTGCCTCCGCACAAAATGTGCGGGCCAGTCTTTCCTAGAAGGTTCTTGTCGCACCCAATCAAAATTTGCAGCGTGGATGTTGCTACGAAGCCCCGCACAGCCAAATGCATTCCCGCAATTTGTTCCCGCATAACTTGTGCGCTGGCTGATGCTAGCTCTTGAGGGGAAATCAGCAGCGCACTAGTTGTGCGACCTTTTGCCCAGCGAAGAAACAACTTCGAACCAGCAGACGGTTACATTTCTGCGCCCCAAAAGTGGTGTTCTGCAGGCTGAAGCGTCAAATTTGGCGCAAGTAGGTTTGGCAGGAACGCCCATACCAAACCTAGATAAGCAAATGAACAGTTACGACTGTTAATGCTTGTATCCACTGCTATGGTGTATCTTGCATTTCAACAAAAAAAAAAAAGATAAGCAAATGATCACTTATCAACGAAGATTCTGCGGACCCAGACTCTGGTAATTGTCCGCCTGCAGAACAAAGCCTAAGTGTATACAGTTTTCGAGGATAATCAATGAATAAGAAATCGAGCATACAGTGTGTGCATGCTGTAAGGAAATGCCTAGGTACACTAGATCATGGAACTGCACTAATCTAGCCTCCTAACCCATAAATTCCTTCGGCTACTGGAATACACCCTAATACATTCTAGAAAAAACGAATCCTCGCCCGCAGCTGAAAGTATGTACTGTCGGATTTGGACATCATTCTGATTCGCGCTCGCGCGAAACAAAAACTTTCGCTATCTTATCCCATCCGACATGAGGATGTGGGAGAAGTGCGGGCTAGTAACGCGGATAGGTCAAGTAGGCTGCTGAGGCCTTGAAGCGAGACAGTTAAAAGGGCGAGCGCGTCGCGTTTCAACTTAGGTACACGGGTCAGGTGCTCCGTTAATCTCCGGCTGCGCCGTGTCGTCTCTACTCGATGACACTGAACTCCGCGACAGTGTTCGCCACGAGGCTCTCCACCGCTTGCGCCAGCCCCTTCCCCTCGCACCGTACGGACGCCCACCATTGGTTACTGCTCGCGCTGCTGTTACCAAAGTTACCACCACCGCTACTTCTGCCGCTGCTGCCGCTGAGGCCGCCGGGTTTTCTGCTGCTGCTGGGGCTGCGACAACGCAGAGGGCTGTTCGTCGCGCTACAGCCGCTGGTTCGGCTGTAGCAGCTCGGGCTACGGCTGCGCTTCGGGCTGCTGGTCGTGCTGCTCGGGCAGGACGCGCTGCCCGAAGCGCTGCCCGACGGGCTGCCCGGTAGGCTGCCCGGTTGAGAAGAGGGAGTAGGGGACGGGGCCCGGGGCGGGAGTTTCGGTCTGCTTGAAATCGCCATTTGTTTTCGAAATTGGGGATGGAGAATCGGAAGCAGGTGTACGTGGAGCGAGAAGAACAGGAAGCGCTGGGGGTGTTTGTAACGAGAGCGACGGTGCGAAGGTCGAAGCGAGACGATCGTTGAAGGTCGCGGAGGGTACTAGAGGGTGTGCGAGTTTCTTGGACGAGTCGCGGGTTAGTTGCCGTGAAGTTAGTTAGCCCCGAAGACTTGGACTTGAAGGTTTGGATGGCAATACTGAAAGTGATGAGCTGATATCGTGTGATTGACGCTCTGGTTGAATTTACGATGACCAGTTTGATCAACTCCCCTTTATACAGCTCCAACCGTGTACAAGGAAATTGTTGAGGAAGAGGGGGGGCGGGGAGGTGGATGTGAAGTGAAGCGAAAGCAAAACGATCAGCGATTACGACGACGAACGATGGGTGGGTGGGTGGGTCGTGCGTGCACCATACTGATTCAAGGTGGGCCGCCAGGGGAGATGCGGGGAACGCGGCGGGGGAGAGTGTGGTGGGTCCAGCCAACAGGAATCGCGATTGGTGGTGTGACGTGAAACGCGAAAAGATGCCCTGCGCCACCGACTGACGGACGAATCGATGACGCGTTTCGCCAGCCAACCAGGCCAGCGAACGTTCGTTCATCGCCGTCGACGAATCGGCTTGCTTGGGGAGTGTCGCTCGCTTCCACCCGAACCAAAACATCAGCTTCCCGAACATTGCTGCTCAAACGTGCAAAGATTTCTTCGAACAAATCCAGCCAATCATGAACGGGCGAAGCCACCTGAAAGAAACCCCTGGCCAAACACCAGCCAGATCACGTGGTCCACTGGACGACCGCGCCGCTCGGTGACGATAACGGGCTCACATTGGAGGAGTCGCGGTTCGAGATTAATGCAAGATTCGGTTTCGTTTGGCCAGCAAAGGAGGACGCGGAACAGCCTGGAAGTTGCGTTGGTCCAACCCGATTGGAAGGTCTCTCAAAGCGAGACGCAAGGTGGTTTATCGGGCTACTGGCGATTGGACCACGCATGCATGTGGCGGGCAGTGCTCCTGAGAGTTGTGAAACCGAATGCGCGGAGAGCGTTTGAAACAAGCAAGCGTCCCCGTCGCGTCTCGCAATCAACCCTCCCCAAAACCCTGCAGTTCGTCCAAAGGTTCGATAGAAGCTTGTCACGGATGCCAGCCAGTGTATTCCTGGATGTCAGAGAAAACCGCTGATGGGAAGGCAGCTTTCAACACAGTCCTGCTCACTGTACAGCTTACGATCACACCTGCGACTCGTGGACCCACCAGACCTAGCCTGGAATGTCGTCAATTGGACTCGACTCGAGAAATGAAGACGTTCCGTTACGTGCCGTTCCGTTCCGTTCCGTCCATGCCTTTGTGCCAAGGACCACCAGCAAAACCCTGAACAATATGGCTTCGTTCCGTCAGACAGCCGTCAAGAAACTCCGCCAATTCCATCAGGTTCCGTCAATCCAGCTCAAATTTGTTTCAATCCTCGTCAAACCCGCAAACGCGCAGTCATCTTTCCCAGCCTGTTTGGAGCTTGTGTTGAGACCTCAACTGACCACGAAGTTGAATGGTACGCGCGCAATGTCACCATCATTTGTTTCTTCTCGCGCCAGCGACAGTAGCATCTGGAAGCATGACGGCGGCTCTAATAGATCGGATATAGATTCTTAGGGTTTGTTAGCCTCAGCGTCAACATGCTCTTACGAAGTTAGCGACGGTGAGTTATTGCAAAAACATACTGTATTCTAGTCGTAACGCACGAGATTGGAGCAGGTGTATATTTTTTCGCCAAGCTCTGAAACCATGGCAACATCTAAGGTGAGCATCTATCAAAGGTGCGTCCTCGCAAAAAGTTGAACATACATGGGCGACGGCGTATTACATGCGACGGCGGATGGGTGGGGATACTACAGGTCACATTAAGTCTGAAGCCGCAGGTCACACAAATCTAAAACTTCTCTTCGAGTGTGGCACAAGAACAAATTCCGCGTATTTACAAGAAAACACTAAGGTCGGCTTTTCCGAGCCAGCCAATGTCACTAAAGCTGAAGTAGTATCGGACAAAATGTCAGTCGGGACAACCACGTGCATGCTTCCGCAGTGGCTAAACAGCTTGTTCACTCTTCTTCTCCTTTCGTTGTCCTTGGTTTGACCACGAATGATAGGCATTTCTTGTCTTCTGACGCCTGTCATTATCCCTGACATTCTGGTCTTGGCGATTGAGTGGCGATTTGCAGAATGCGGCGGTGGTTGAAATGCACCCTTGAACTCGTAACAGACCCTCATGCATTCCAGCCCCATTCAGCGAACTGCAGCCGTCGCCGCCATCCCCCCAGCCGAAGCCACCGCAGAAGTGGAATCGCCGTCACTCTTTACCCATCGCAGCAATCGCAGCCATCGCAGCAGGATTGCTCCACCCAGAGTCTTTTCCCTCGGGGGATTCAACAGCATACTCCGGAGCTGAATATACCTTATGATACGCTACCAACTTCCGTGTCGGCATGAGACAGGAAGACAGCATGCAGGGAGTGCTCGCCGGGATCTGAAACGTCTCAGAAATCGGAGGGATTCCGACGATGGCTGTCGCGTCGATAAGCTCATGGATGACCCGCCGGAAAACACGCCCCCGCCGATGGCTGTCGCAGCCGCCGCGGTGGCTCCTGGGGGAAGATGGATCGCGCGTAGCTGATGTGAGATGAGAGGCCATTATAAGGGGGATTATGCGAGTGAGTTGAATTTGGGGATTGTGGGTATGTTGAGTTATGGAATGAAGGTCTGAGTATGTGCGTCACGGGAAGGATGCGTTCAGGAGACGCGTAGACGCTAGAATTAGCAACTGGAGATTTGTTCGAGTGTCTTTTACTAGGGAAATGATACGAGCAGATGTTGACGCTTATTTTACGCATCACGCGACTCTTCGAGGACCAAGGGGGATGATTGTTGCCGTTACGACGCGACGAGCATCAGCTGATTGATAACACATGTCAGGACAGAAAACCCATGTGGGATATCGGAGAGCAGATGATGGATGTCAGGAAGGACGGAGAGAACAGGATGGTGCCTGAGCGATAAGCCTGGAGCTGCTACTGCCTTGGCTTGGAATGGGCGGAAAGGGGGCATCGCCACGTCAGCGCACGAACGTTGAAAGTGGTCAACGACGACCTCGTCAGACGGAGAGAGTGAGAGGCTTGTAACTGCCACTAACGTTGACGCCAGGTTGAATAATCTGGGAAACGGTCAAAGGTGGCTGTGAGGGCGGCTCGCTCACACGTTCAGCCCACACAGCCTATTCTCCCAGTCGTTCGCGTTTGAAGGTGGCTCCGACGCACGATACTGAACAGAGTACTACAAAATGTGGTAATTGTTTGCTAGTTCTGGTTTGGTGTTGAGTGGATGGCGGAGACATGTTGCTGTTTGGAGCTTGCTAGCTGCGAAAGCGTCAGCGACGAGATTTCGTGCATCCATTTCGTCAACGAATCGTGCA